CAATTATGAATTGTGGAATAAGGCTGCTTTAACCAAACTCCTATGGGCTATAATGGCAAAGAAAGATAAACTATGGATTAGGTAGATTCACTGTCACTACATTAAACACAATGATGTTACTACCATGAATACTCCAAAGCAAGCCAGCTAGTTAGTGAGGAAAATATTCACTACCAGAGAGTGGTGGGCATCTGATCTAACAGTGATAAAAATCCTTTGTGGTTGATGGAAAATACAGCATCAAGAAGTCCTATATACATTATATGCCAAGCTATCTCAAAGTTCAATGGAAATCACTAATTATGTTGCTAGGAATGATGCCTAAGCATCAGTTCATATTATGGATGAGAGCGCAACAAAGGTTAGCTACTGTAGACAGGCTCACAAAATGGGGAATTCAGGTGCCCCAATCATGTGTGCTATGCGAAAGAGATATTGAAGAGACACATGGCCACCTATTCTTTGAATGTCAATACTCAAAAAGCATGTGGAAAGGAATGTTGACATGGATAAGGTACCAAAGGAATATCACAAACTGGGAATCTGAAGTGAATTGGTTATCAACCAATGTCAATGCCAGGAACCCAAGAAGAACAATCCTAGGAATTATCTTTGAAGCAGTGGTGGACCACATCTGGATGGAAAGGAATAGCAGAAGATTTCAAAACCAGAAAAGAGAAGCCAAGGACAGAGCTAAAGACATTACAATTCAAAAAATGTGTAAATGGAGACCTATATTGAATACACTGAATAGTTATCCTAGTTGTAGTTTATAGCAAATAGGATAGAGGAAGAACCACACTTTCTCAAGCGGTCTAGGCAACAAGTTTGCTTGTATAGTTTTATTTTGGTTATTCCTGAGACCTGCTACTAGAGTCAAAAAGTGCAGGTGGTGTATATTGAAAATGGTTGGAAAAAAATTTTACTTTCGACCAAAATAATAATAATAATAGTAATAATAATAGTAATAATAGTAGTAGTAGTGGTAGTAATAATAATAATAATAATAATAATAGATACAAAGCAAATATGTCATGTTGCGGCATGCAGCCCGATCCAGAATATCACTCACAACACGGCTCTCAAGCCCCAACTCAGTCATAATCGCTCCAGTCTCACGGGTTCACATATCTCATATCACTAAGCCCAAACAATGATAACATGATGTAAATGTGAATGATAACAAAGACTGAGATATGATATATAAATGAATGGATATGACTGAGTACATAATTGCAACATAAAAAAATAACTCAACAGCGAAAATCATCTCAGTGGGTCCCAACAGAATAAGCACATAACCTAAACATGATTTCTAACATGGATCACAGCTCAATTACTCTAACACATAGGAATTACACGGATAGAAATAAGACTAGATAACTACACAGTACCATAGAATCAACCGAGTCATAATTACCACAGTGCACGCCCACATGACCGTTACCTAGCATGTGCGTTACCCCAACATCAGCCATATAACACATATTCCAAGGACTCATACCCTCAGTACCAAGTTTAGAAGTGCTACTTACCTCAAAGTGCACGACTCAATGCTCCAACAAACCTTTGCCTCGTGAATCGGCCTCCGTACGACTCGAATCTAATCACAAACAACTTAATATAATCAATACAAACTATAGGAATCAATCTCATACCACAAAGCTAAGTTCTTTAACCAATATTTAAAAGCCAACCCAAAAAGTCACCCACAGACCCACACCTCGGAACTTGACAAAATTAACAAAATCTGAAAACCCATTAAATAACGAGTCGAACCATACCAAAATCATCCAATTCCGACCATAAATCAAACCTCAAATCCCCAAATCTTACTCTCCAATACATAGACCGCAAATCCCCCAAATTTCACCATAAAAACACATAATCTAGGTGCAGAAATCAATGGGTATTCAATATTATTGGACAAAAGTGATCAAAGATTGATTACCTCTTGAATTAAAGTGAAACCCCTCTCAAAAATCGCCACTATCCAAGCTTGCAAAGTCCAAAAATGAAGAAAACTCGGAACCCCTTCGAAATATAAAATTGCCAGGATTTTCCCACCTACGATCACCAACTCGCTTCTGCAGAACCGCTTCTGTGGTCGAATCTCCGCATCTGCGGAACCCACTTAAACTCCGACTCTCCGCTTCTGCAGCCTAAAGACCGCACCTGCAGCATCATACCTGCGGATACCCACCGCATTTGCGGATGCCAAAGTCCGCTTCTGCGGAAACACATGGCCAGCTCGCCTCCTGCTCGCTTTCGCTTCTGCGGTATCCTCCCTCCAGAAGTGACTCTGCTTCTGCGGATTCCCTCGCGCACTTACGGTGAAACAATACCAAGCCTAACCTGCATCTACGGCTCTACACCTGCGGCCAAAACCTCGCAGATGCGGTTGCACCAGAACTGAACAATAGCAGATTTTCCTTTAAGTCCCAAACTCTATCCGAAATCAATCGGATTCTCACCTGAGGCCCACCCGGACCCCATCCAAACATACCAACACATCATAAAATACGATACGAACTTAGTCGAAGCCTCAAATAACATCAAACAATATCAAAAACATGAATCGCACCCCAATTCAAGCATATTGAAACTAATGGATTTCCAACTTCTACAATCAATGTCGAAACCTATCAAATCAACTTCAATTAACCTTAAATTTTGCACACAAGTCATAAATGATACAGTGGACCTACTCCAACTCTCGGAACCAAAATCTGAGCCCGGTATCGACAAAGTTAACTCTATGTCAAACTTCTCAACTTTCCAAATCTTGAACTTTCCAACTTTCACCAATTCAAGCCAAAACGACCTACGGACCTCCAAATCAATATCCGGACATACTTCTAACTCCAAAATCACCATACTAAGCTATCAGAACCATCAAAACTCCATTTCGGAGTCGTTTACACATAAGTTAACATCCGGTCAATTCTTTCAACTTAGATTTTCAACGTTGGGACTAAGTGTCCCAATTCATTTGGAAACATCCCCGTAACCGAAACCAACCACCCCGGCAAGCCGCGTAACAATAAGCGAACATAGAATAAATAATAAATACGTGAACAGGGTTGCAATACTCAAAACGACCGGTCGGGTTGTTACAGCAGGCTACATTATGAACCCGTTTGGATTGACTTAAAAGGTAATTTTTAGCAGAAATAGCTTTTACGCCAAAAAGCAATAAGTTGGGGTTGCTCAGCTTATTATTTTTGACTTGTTTTAAGCAGTTTTTAACTTATTTTAAGTACTTTTTAACTTTGCCAAACACTGGAAAAAAAAACTAAAAAGAACTTAAAAGCTAATTTGACCAGCTTAAAAGCCAATCCAACACCCTCTATGTTCCTTTTCCAACCATCAATTTTTTTTAACATCGATAGCATCCGATCGGATTGTACACATATGAACCATTTTACAAATGGGAAACTACCAACTATGTCCATTCATAAGTTGCTTATTACAAAAATTGGACAATTCATATAATATTACTAATATTAGCCAATTATTACCAATATTAGCCAACTAACTATTTGTAACCAAAAAAGGTCAAATTTTTGCTTTCTTTTGAGTGGGTGTTATTAGAATAGATTGGGTACATCTTAAGGAGCTTGAATCTTAGTTTTGGGATGATTTGATGGAGTTTTGAGATGGTTTGAATGGAAAATTCGAAGTAGAAGATAAACATGAAAAAAATAATATATGTAATTTTGTATCACACTATATATCATTTGTGTATCGCATATGTATCATATTTGTATCAAATGTGTATCACATGTATATCCATGTATACATGTGTATGAGATACATGTGTAATACATGTTTGATACGTGTGTCGTAGAAGAATCTTTTGAACTCGATTTTAACTTTGAATTTTGATACCAAATCTATCCAAATCACCTCTGATTTGTCCTCAAATTTTGTACATTGACTCATCTATATGTTTTAGTGAATTTCAACCCTACCCAATGAAAAATATCGTTTTTTGCTTAGATTTTTGGAATCTTGTATATATATTTTTTTATATTTCATCACCTTATTTGCTACCTCATCCATGAAGTTTCCTTTCTGTCTTGCATGTAATGTTGCTAATCACGCTTAAAAATATAGAAAGAGATCTTCGCATGATTCTTGGAGAGAAAGAACCTTATTTATTTAGGTTTTCAATTTTTATATGTGCTTGATTAATTTTGGTAAGTCTATAATTAATGGCTACAAATTGGTAAGTTGGGACTTATTTAGGACATTTCTGTAAGATTCCCTTTACAAATAACTCTTACTTTCTAGAAGCGCAAGTCTCATAACACTCTGCCCAAAGATCAAACACAATGAGAAGAAATTATCTAACTATTTTGTCTCTGCTGAGATTTCCACGTTCTTAGACTGCTCAGTGAGCTTATTTGCCCCCTCCTTAGATAGATTAGAGTCCTTATTGCATCACTAGGTCAGGTAAAGTGAGAAATTGGAGATACCATTCCGATCGTCAATGCTAATCAGAAAAGTAAGATGGTCTATGCTTTTATAGTTTACACAATGTGCGCTAAATAACTTATATTGAGCACAATTATACAACATACTCAGTACGGTCTTACAAATTGAGCACAATTATAAAAATACAATATTCAAATTTCCACTGATCGAGTGCACTTTCTGCTTGTGTAGAAGTTCCTAAGTTCAGTAACACCATCGTCTTAATTAGCCCGTAAAAGTATCAAAATCGGATGTGAATTTGATGACTTCAAACCAACAATTTTGTATGCTAAAAACACAAGAAAAGATACCTGTGGATACTAAATGAGCTTGTAACACAATCAAACAAGGCTTTAAATGACACATTTGTTCGATGAAACAAGTGGTAAGACATAACTACTACGCGTCTGAAATATGAGTTTAACTAAAATATACTATCAGAACACAAGAAAGAGCCAAGTATGGGTTATTTTTAGCAAGCATGACAGTGTAGCCTGCAAAACATAGTAAGTGACCTGTCATGATAGTGTAAAAAACCTCTTACACCATAAATGAATATAAGAAAAATCTTAGAATTATTAGTGAATATCGGAGGATACATTCTGTATGGATAACTTCAACTAGACCATTGAAACATTCCATGTTTGGTATTTCACTGACGAAACAGCAATGCATTAAAGCAAAACTTAACAAAGGATTAATAAATGGACGCCATAAAAAAGCTAATAATACCGCCAGTCTAAGATGAAAAAACTGCCGTTACGGCAACAACAAGCTTTCTATTGGCAACCGATTCAATTGCTCCCAATACTCGCATTATTTAGTTCGATATCTCGAGGAAATGCTGGATTTGCTGCGTAAGTCCACTGTTCTTCCAAATGATCCCGTTTGTTCCTTTTCCCACATAGCACTCCAAACAACCAAAGGAACTAAATCATTAAGATAGGACCAGAAACCACATATGTTGAAGAGCATAAAATAGGACCCACGAATTGCACCATCCAAAACCAAGGTATTCCGAAAATGACTTGGACGTCCATTCCTCACAAACCAATAAGCAGCCGATTCAAATTCCTCCTGGATACTTTACCTCCACGCTCTCTCACTTTCAATGAATAAAGTCCTTAGTTCACAAAGTACTATAAGTAGCATCTGATGGACCTCCAAAGCGGAATGCAGAATAATCAGCACCTACGAAATAAAAAGTACAGTACTTTATGAGACCAAGACTCCAGAAATCATTTTTTAGAGTCACCATAGGAAAGTTGCAACCTCCTATCCACATATTCAAAAGCAGAGGGGAAGATGGTTTGAACATGGAAAACCTACGCGGTATATTTGTTCTTAAGCAATGAGTACAGGCCTGACACATCCATCAAACGAACTCAGGTTACTAAATTAGCTACAATATCAATGGTTTCATTTGGATAAAAGAAATGAATATTAGCACTCATTTAATCAAAGCATTTTTTCAACCAAAATACAGATGGATGCTATCAGTTTCGTCTGCACCCGTGAGATGGGGTACTAATATATAGGCAAAGGAGGAATCATTATCCCCCATAAGGACATGAAATGATACTTAAGCCCCTTACATGTAAAAGGATTAGCAAATCTTTCCCAATTCTCTTCTCTGCTTTTCTTATTCCTTCAACTTGTCCCTGTTCACTCAAGCCTTGTCCCGACAAGCAGTCATCAATCTCTTCTTATTATCTCTCTATCTCCCTTTCCATTCACCCAGCAATTATCATCTCCTCCACCTTACCTGTTTCCCTCCCTTGTCATGCACCGGTGTGCCTCCTTCAACATTCTTTCCCCCCTCCCCCTATTTACTCTAGCTGTCCTCGCTTTCCTTTCTCTAACTTCCCTCCATGGTAGAAATATCCTCCCCAACTATTGATCCAGGTTTCCTCTCCTCCCTCCATTAGATATAGAGGAGCTCCCAGTAACCATGGATAACACCAGGATCTGCTCTGAATCCTCTTTTTTGTTCATAGTTATACATGAATTAACTAACAGTATACAAGATGGGGTTTCATGATCCATGCTATTTGCAAATAATGTTGTGCTAATTGACAAAACTAGCTAGGGAATCGACAAAAGATTTGAACTATCAGGATAACAAGTTAGACAACACTGACAAATCCTAAGTTGCTCGGACACGGGTGCGGGTGTCCGACACGGGTGCGGATCTAGAGGTCGGATCCTTCGAGATGTAAATTCGAAGATTCGGGGATATGGATCCTAGCACATATACGGGTGCGGGGATCCGGCTAAAAATAATTCAAAAAATATATAAAAATATTTCTAAATTATGAGAAATTTTGTGGAATACTTATCTATAGCTTGTAAGTGTAGATTTCTTTTTTATTATCAAGTTGTAGATAAGTAAAGGATTGATTTCCGAGATAAGGTATGCTAATTTCTCCAAACTTACCCTAGTCGTGGTTCTAATTTCGGGAATCAAATTGTATCTCGCTCAAATTTTGTTGTTTGTCGTGGTCAAAGTACCCAAAATTGTTTGACCAGATCTGGTACGGATCCCATACCCACACCCATACTAGTGTCGTGTCGACACGGGTGCGGCACCTAAAATGCTCGTCGGAGTAACTTAGGGCAAATCTAATGTTGCCTCAACTTTTGAAGTTACATGCCGCATAAACCAAAATCCTGATCAGTCGCCTTAAAGATGAAAAGAATGACGAAATGGTAGAGCATGGACAGAACCAATTATAGCAAGAAAATACCTCAAAAAACTGATTATATACAAAGCGCGCCCAAGTCAGGTAGCCTTGCATCAGATTGTTTTGAACTCGTAACATTGGTAAGTGGAACTTTCTTGCCCTGCTTTTTGTCTCTTCGACCTTTGCCATAATCAATTGTTTGGTTGCTGAAAAAAATATACATTGCATGTGAAAGCGAGGAGAATTGGAAATCCAAGTGCCCAGAACAGTATGCCATTTAGGAAACAAAGGAGGCTAAATTAAAAGTTAAATGATGAACATGACGATTTTGTCTTCAATTCAGCATATTGGGATTTTGTTTATTCAATTCAAAACAAAATGGAAGGAAAGATAGGTACTTCGTGTATTCTTAGCTTTACCACTACATCATCATACTTGTGCTGTCAAACTTCATAACTTGCAGAGCCCACAAAACACAATATAGCAGCCTCTATGTATCAACGAACTTAGAGAGCACAAAGTTTTTAAGATTTTCAAATAGAAAGCTCTCTAAGATTCTTTTTTTTCGACTTTATTGCAAATACAACATAGCGCAAACATATGCATAGTAGAAGCAGATAAACATATGCAGAACAAGCAGAACTACAATAGCATCGACAAGTTACAACAAGCTAATGGCATTAAGCTGTATACAATTTTACCGCAAAAATGAATTAACAAACTAAACTTCAACAAGGTTCCAACAAATACACAGCAATAACCAAAAAGACAGGTGATCTTCGACAACCATACACTGCATAGCTAGTGGGACGTTTCCCTGCAACTGATCCACAGCAAGACTTATATTTCTTCTTTGAACCACAGGGACAGGCCTTATTTCTTGGAATTTTCTACAGCATCAAACGAAGACAGTTTTGATGGTTTCAGTAACTACATCCCAGTGAAGTTTCCAATTAGACATGCATATAAGAACAAAACTAATCCTCCCTCTGTTTCAATTTATATGTCGTATTTTGACTGGGCACAGAGTTTAACAAAAGTAAGGAAGACTTTTAAATCGTGTGGTCTTAAACTAAAGATGTGCGTAATGTACCAAGATTCCCTTAAATCTTGTGGTCTTAAATATGACATGTGGAATATTGGAGTTAAATGGTTACTAAATAAAAAAAGAGACATTTTTTATAAAACAGATTGAAAAGGAAGACGCATAAATTGAAACGGAGGGAGTATATATTTTTAGAAAGATACAACAAGATTAACTTATCAAAAAAAAAAAAAAAAAAAAAAAAAAAAGATACAACAAGATTCATGCTGTTTTACCTTTTCATCTTCCTGGGTGGTATTTCTATCAGAAACTCCTTTTACACTACAGTCAGTGGAACCTTTTTCACGAGGTGGGTCTTCAGATTTAAAATCGCGTTCATCGCAGGATTTATCATGCTCTCCTGGAGACCCTAAAAAGAATGAAATGTATGAGACGGCGAGGTGCTGGCAACAAAAGCATAAACATAACTACACCAATTTTCCCCCTCTATGATAGATGCAATAGACCGGTATCTCATGTGTACATTTATCGAATATATCTTGCCTATCAATTAATGGGGACAACAAACCACGTGTTACCACTGTCTCTCGCTCTGTGACAAAATCCTCCTAGCATTAAGTGGATTTCATAACGTTAAGGTGTTTCTTCCCAACCTGACAAGCCCTAAATATTACTAGAGTCCCTGGTGAATGGCAAGGGGACACCTTCAGAGAACCAGAGCTAAGAAAACATATTCCAGCTCAGTGATCACCAAAGCATGAGAAGGATGGGTTCCCCAGTGTGAGAACCATTATTAAAGAGAATGCAGAAAAAGTATCCACCTAATGACAGAGTTATGACAATAATGACAAGTAGATATAAAACCATGCTTCATCGTCATATCTATAGTCCAAGCTATCAAAATTGTATTTTCACCTAAAAGGGGCTATTGTGATTTGTGCATATGATGGCACATAAATATTACCGAGTGTATAGGAGAAAAAGCTTTCTACCTAAATCTCACAGTTCTTGGTACCTCAGATGAGCACATCTAGCTTACCTCTCATGCAGGCATTTGCAAACGGATTTCTCAAAGCAGTAGGAAGAGGTTGAAAAGTGATCCAAAGAAATATCCCACAAAAGAACCACCCACCCCCCTCCGCCCGAAAATAAAAGGAAAGGAAAGGAGAGAAAGAAAGGAGAAACTTGCTTTGGCTATTTCAATAAGGTCAAGAAGGTCGACTAGCAAAGCATGGAGTAAAATGAATGGTTCTCTAACTTCTATATAGTGAAATTCTGACTACATGTTACATAGTACTTAAATCTGTCCCCTTTTGTTTGAACTAGTTACTATTTTAAGAGCCAAACAGGTTACTCCTTGACCAAAATGTTTTAAATTTGTTTCAATTATTTCTAATCCAGAAATTAAGTTTGATGTTTCTTACATAGCTAAAAAATCTATGGTTTTAAACTAGGCTAGTCAATTTGGATAAGATGACCAGGTGTCAAAGCTCAAAACCAATGGAAGTAGGGAAAAGGGGAAAGGGAAAAATGTGTCACCAAAGATGTTTCATGGCAAATCCTGGGCAACCCACTACCATATGGACAGAAGTCCGTATTTTTTCTTCATTAAAACAACAACAACAACAACAACAACCCAGTAGAATCCCAACAAGTACAGTCTGAGGAGGGTAGTGTGTACGCAGACCCTACCCTACCCTAGGAAGTAAAGAGGTTGTTTCCGACAGACTCTCGGCTCAAGAAAGATGAAAAGAACCAGTAGAAACAAGCAATATCAACAAAAAGCGCCAAATAATATTCATTAAAATTTGAATATTTACATATGCAAAGGTTGACACGAGTATATAAGTCGTGTTGAATAACAAGCCCTCCAGTTTCTAGTTTTTATTTGTCAAACTCGTGTTTGGGAGTCTGTGATGATTACAAAACCAGAATTTACCATGACTCCAATTTCAGAGAAAGGCAATAGGCAGAATCACTTTAAAAGCAAGACTGATCGTTACCTTGTGAACTGCTTGCCAGACAAGAAATGTTATCATTTGCATTTAACTGGTCCTCGGACCCTTGCTCTGCGATTAGATACTCAATTGCAGCATCAACATCACCACCAACTTGTTGTAAAACCTAGAGAACAACAGATTAAAAAAAGAAGTAGATATCAAGTACAGAGACATGTAGATTTCTTTTAACACTCAAACAAATTCCACATCATTGTAGACCAAGGAAAGAGATATCGGCAAATGACCTGTTCCACTTTTACTATGTCATTACATCCACTTCCAGCCATAACAACTTTGACTGATCCTACTTGAACAGTATTCCGAGAAGTGTCTCCCTTAGATTTGGCAGCAACTATAGCTTCACGAGATTTTGCTGAAAGATCAGCATCAGCCTTTTAAATAACTGAAGGTTATTAGAATTCTTGCAAGAAATCCTAATCCGTTGTTATAGAAGGGACAGCTAATCCCATCATAAAAAATAAAAATAAAAATTGAAGTGATATAAACCTTGATAGTAATCGGACTAGCAGGTCCCATGCAAGAATCTTCCTTCAGCCGAACGCTATTGTAATGCTCTCCGTCATGATAAGAACTGACAGTAAATAAGCAAGTCAGGCAGCTAATATGTATAAAATGATGAAGAGGCTAAGAAGTAATGATGAAGGGGCTAAGAAGTAGAGAAAGAAATGCCAAATGGCACTTGCTTCAGTAGAAACAATTATCTCAGAGGGTTGAAGAGGCACACCACTATAATCATTAGTTCCTTGTGATAATCAATTCTTTATTAAGAAAGACGAGGTGGAGGCTAACCTCTACATGATTTGGAACTGTTCTTTGTTATTTAATGAAAATGGACCAAAACAGTCAGTCAATCACAGTACAGCAAAAAGCTAGAGACAGCAGACTCTCCACAATGAAGAAAGAAAGAGACATGACAGTTGAGAAGGAGGGTGGGG